GCATAAGTTTGAATTGGAAATCACGGGTGAGGCTGCAGCGAAATTTGCAGTGTCTCATGCTCTGCTCGACTTCCAGTTTGGAATGCATTAGGATTCATTTCGGGCTCATGGCGTTATCTTAGCCAGATTTTTATGCGAAATGGTACCCAAACAAAGGATCTGATCGTTGTTTTCAAGATTGAGACCTTTTTTATGGCTGGTAGCCAAGTATCTGAAATTCCCCCTCCAGAATTTGCAGTCCATTAGTTGTTGATTTAAAGGCTAGGACACATTCCCATTGCCACAGTGTGTTCTTATCTGTTCTTCGGACAAATAAAGTATCATGGGCGCCAGTAGTCTTTTGCTTTCCTCCATTTGATTGCTTTTTTTTTGATTAGGTACGCTCGGCGTTGTTCCAAATGCCATTTGGACCAGATCGACAAAATTTGGCAGCAGACACAATGATAGACATGATCAGATCCCTTGGCGTCGAAGATCTCTTCAGCGACTCCTCTGAAGATGAACACAAATCAGGGCGTCTTACGCCTTCTGACCAGTCCAACGTCCAGAACTTGTAATTTCACTTACTCAAGTTTTGCTTCTCCACCGATTTCTGTATCGCAGGACGAAGTTCGAGTATTGGTCGTTACGGTCACTTATATGTGTCACTTATATTTCATTTTTTGTCGACCTGAATTCTGGATACCTTTAGTTCCATTTCACATGTTGATTCTTCGATTTCTGGTTATGTTAGTTCCATCCTACATATTGTAGTCTGAATTCTGAATTTTCCATTTCCCGTACTGGAATCTCGGGCATCTTATTTTGGATTCATCTGAAGGTGGCAGGTCATCAGAATGAAATAAAGCAAAAAAAAAAAAAACTTAGGTAACGATGCAACAATTTTGTTGAAGCGATCGTGCATTTTTGCGTTGAGCTGAAAACAGTCTGATCTTTAACAGCATGAGTAGTTTGTGCCTTACAGTTCAGTGCCTGGGTTCATCCTCGCTGTGTTTAAACCTTTTCTTGCGTGTAGGGAAAAAGGCATCTGTTGATCATGGGACCGCGTGAAATCCTAATTTCCAACATGCATGATTGCCTTAAATTTATTCGGTGATTGCTGTTTCACTAAAAAATGCAAATTGGGCAATGAACAGAATGTCGAGAAAGGGGGATGACGAAACCTGCAAAATTTACTCGTTTTTGAAGGCGCGATAAATTTGAGTATTTGCCATGTCTGTCATGAATCTACATTCACGAAAAGATGGCAATTATCGAAAGG